GTGATTATGAATGCCCCTGAATTACTTGCATCTGAAGGCTATTTGTTCTTGTAATGTTTAATTACATGCCCAATCTATAATAGTAACCTGTGAGAACAGAAATACAGTAATTGCAATTTTCAACTTGTTAAAGTTGTAGGCTCTGGGACTGTTATCCTTATCCTCAACTTAGGATGGCAATACTAGAACTTGATCTTTTAAAAACCATCCATCACCGGTAAGGGCTGGTCACCTGTCCCTGGCTATAGGTAACCCCTTTATTTGTAGATATATACAAAGATTATCACCTGGTCGCTTGTGTGAAGGAGGCCTATATGTCGAAGAACTCCAGTGATGAGATTTCAGTACCTCTGTAAACTAGTCTGTTCCATTACGAGTCTTACCCAGGACCGGTGCTACCACTAGGCGTACTAGGCAGCCGCCTAGGGTGCACTGCTGCCTAGGGCGCAGCCATGGCTGCTGGTTTCCCTAATCTCCGCCATGGGGGGGTCCTACGGTGGGTCATCTAGAGGGGTCCTGGGGTGAAGCTTACAGGGGAATTGTACACAATGAAGGAGGAAGGGGTAACAATAATTTTTGCTGAGATGAGTGGTTTGTACAGGAGGGGGATGGGGGCTATTTGTGCAGGGATGGGTAATGGGGATGATGATATGGGAGGGGATTTGTATTAGGAGAAGGAATAGGGGGATATGTGCTAGGAGTAGGAGGGAGGTTTGGTGCTGGGAGGGGGGATTTGTTTTGGAGAGGGGATGGGGGGGAGAGTTTGTGTTAAGAGGGGGAAGTTGGGAAGGGGGATTTATACTAGGATGGGGGATTGTGGGGCATTTGTGCTAAGAGAGGGGATTGGGGAGTTGTGCTAGGAGGGAGGAATGAGGGGATTTATGCTAAGAGGGGGGATTCAAGGGGACAATTTGTACTAGGAGAGAGGATTGGGGGAATTTGTGCTAGGAGAGGGGTTTGGGGGGAATTTGTGCTAGGAGAGGGGATTGGGGGGAATTTGTGTTGGGGGGGATTGTGCTAAGATGGGGGAATTGGGAGGGGTTGTGCTAGGAGAGGGGGATTGGGGGGTTGTGCTAGGAGGGAGGAATGGGGGGAATGTATGCTAGGAGGGGGGATTCAAGGGGACAATTTGTACTAGGAGAGGGGATTGGGGGAATTTGTGCTAGGAGAGGGGTTCGGGGGGAATTTGTGTTAGTAGAGGGGATTGGGAGGAATTTGTGTTGGGGAGGATTGTGCTTAGATGGGCGATTGGGTGGGGTTTTGCTAGGAGGGGGATTTGGGTGGGCAGGAAGGATTTGTGCTGGTAAGGGTAATTTGGAAGGGACTGTGCTAGGAAGAGGGATTTATGCTAGGAGGGGGGATCTGGAGGAGAAGGTTTGTGCTAGGGTGGAAAATTTTAGAACTGCAGGTGAAGTTTATTTTTTTTTGGGGGGGGGGGGGGGTTGCACATAGCTGGCTTTGCCTAGGGCTTAAAATAGACAGGAAGACAGAACTATTCATGGTGCAGCAGAAGAAATGCCTTAGGGGACACAACCTTTATTTCAGCAGAGAGATCTCAGTAATGAAGTCCTTTGGAGACATAAAAATCATGTGATTCAACCCTTTATCAACCCAAATGAAATTTCAGTTTTGAGTAGATAAATTGTTTAAAGGCAACCAATAACCAAACACATATTTCAGTTTTAATTGCTTGATAACACGTTGTTTTAATATTTTTCAGGAACTCCACTGGTTAAGAATCTTCACAAAATTCTCAATTCTCCCTACGGCCATAACATTAGGGCTTTATACTACACTGATGGACTGACAAGGGTGTAGGAATACAACTGCAAAAAAGGAAAACTTTTATGGCCCCTGTAGATGGGCAGAGACACAAGCTACAATTAATTTGATATATATATTTACATTTCTGTATTTGAGAACCTCCAAAAAAGTACCATGGGCAATATGTTTTTACTTTTCTGGAATTCTAGACAAAGCGGTCTCAAAGAGTTGTAAGAAACTTACTGCTGATTCAACATGCTGAGGCTTATCTTAAATCAAATCTTAAATGTATTCCTTTGTTAAGTTTAAAGTGACCTTGTCTCTATTGAAATTTTTTTAAATCAATTTTTGTAAAAGAAGACAGTATATATTCACCTCTCCTGCTGCCTGCTCTGTTCCAGTCCGATGCTGGGAGATCCTTCTGCTAAAGTCTGCACTGAAACCAAACACTTCCAAGAGTGTTGATTTCTCCTGCAGCCCTCACTGATTTAATAAATATTTTATAGCAACAGGGTTGTTTTAAAATGATTACTTGCAAAGGAAAAAGGTCACTTAAAGCGTTACTAAACCCACAACAGTAAAATCATTTTGTATATGCAGTAAAGCAAGCTTGTTATACTCACTGTGGAACCTAAGGGGTTAATTCTCAGCATTGTAAAAAAATTATGTTTGATCCTGTCTCCAATCCATCTGCTGATAGAACAGAGACTTGGGGGCAAGCTGCACATGCTCAGTTTGGCGTGCATTGCTAGAGAGTTTTTTTTTTCTTTCTTGGGAGAGTGCATGTGATCAGCACAGGGCCAATCAGCACTATCCAGAGAGAGGGTCAGGGGTTATGCAGCCTCATAGTGCAGAATTCACCAGACTGCTCTAACTGCTGATGAGAAAATTTATTTAGCGGTTTATATTTACTAAAATAATTGCATTTCCATGTTCTGTGTACTGTGTGAGATTAGATATAGTGAATGCAGGGGTATGGGTTTAGTAGCACTTTTACTCCCCTCAGTCCCCAGCAGTACATACTCAAAATAACTCCCTTCCATCTTGCTCTGTTCATCCACTTAGAGCAGAGATGATTAACCTGTGGCCTGCTGGCCACACATGGCCCTCAGGTCCCTCTAATGTGGCCCTCAACCTCAAATCAGGGACGCTGACTTTTACTATATATTGAATGCAGGAATTTTGGTGTGCTTACAGAAAGTGCTCTGCCCCCTCAAGATATAACAGAAGTCTATGGCAAAGAGCACCTAACTCACAGGAAAGGTGCAGTTGCACTGCACTGGTGCAGGTAACCCACAGCTCATCAGAGTGAAAGCAGCCTTATAGGGGGATCAAGGCAGTAAAGGCTCATTTACAATTGCAGTTTGGGGGTGGTTAAAACCTATGTGTTTTTACCACACACCTCCAACCACTGATGTAGCATCAAGGGTCGCAATGGTGACTCTGCTCCATGCTCCAAGGGGCCCGCGCAGCCTCCCTGTCACACTCTGTTTTATACTTGGACAGAAGGGGTGGTCGGGGGCAGCATATACAGGAACTGATCCTCTCCATTTTCCTCCTGCAACTACTGAAAGCAGGCTTCTCCTCTTCTTCTTCCCACCAGCTGCAGGAAAAATATGTTCATTATGCTGATCAAAATAAAACATTTTAAATTCTGAACCATTTCATTTCATTGTGGCCTGCGACTGGTTACCAAATCACTTAAGTGACCCTCACGCTTCAAAAGGTTAAGCACTCCTGACCTAGAGAGAGGTAAAATGGCCAGTATAGGCCATGTACAGAATCATTTCAAGATTGGCCCAGGATTGTCACATGGGAGTCCATAGCCCTGTGTGAGCTATAACAAGTTTGGGACTTAAACTGTTTGGAGCTTACACCTTTTTTGTGCCTTCTTGACCCAGTCCTAGTGGCCAAGCAAATTTGTAGGGGAGTGAGGCAAGGTGAGTATGCACTGCTGTGGAGGAGGGAAGAACTAAGTGGCCTTTGCCCTGCCAAAGAACTGGTCCCTTTCAATTACAGTACACTTCTACATTCCAGTTAATCAGTGTGGTGATATAACTATGCATTTCACGCAGTTCCTGGATTTTACAGGCATGCATACAGTGGCACCAGCCACATAATATGGTGGTAAAAGACAAGAAAATGAAAACATCCTTTATTAATTCAGTAAACATGTGACCTGTTATACTAGCAGGCATGCCTCTTCCAGTTTTCATCATTGATGTTTACATTGACGTTTATTTAAACCTGGCAACAATTATGCTAGTTATTTAGTTAGGGTACACAATCAGCTTTACATTTTTACACTTGACTACACAGTTAGATGGTGTTTGAATGACTGTAAACAAATTGTTATGACAATATGTGATCTAACAAAGTAGTGCAAAGAGCAGTGATTGTGTGTAAAGCACAGCAGCCCAAAACAGCCAGATTTCACCTTCTATCTGTATAGAGCAATCAGAAAAAGGAATTGGTTGCTGTTGTTTACTTCACTTTGCCCTTTTTCTTATATAAGACTATTAGTGTAAACAGAAGTATAGCAATCCAATGCTGCATTGTATCATATTTACTGGGTGTGTGGTCCTGCATCTCCTCTCTTGCTCGTAATCCTTAGTGCAAAGCACAGCTGCCATCTTCTTTCATAGATTTCGTGATAGGGCCATCAGTGATCTTGAAAGTAGGAAATATCAGTTCATTTTGCTATGAAAACTTTAACAAATGTCATTGAAAATGGAAACTAAAAAACAAAACTAAGGCTACATTTTCCACAGCAGCCTTAGGTAATGGATACATTCTACAGTTTTTCTCAGGAATGTCCAGTGAAGGAGAGAAGACTACTTTGGAAGGCTGTGATGGTGCTTTCCAGCTAGGTATGTGATATACAGGAAGCTTGATGGGGGGGAGAACATGCAAACATAGAAGGCAGTTTTTGTTGGTACATGACAATAATAAAAATAATTAAAAAAAAAAAAAGTTTGCTGCAAGACATAAAGATCTTAGCACCCTCGTAAGGTATATCTGTATCCATGCAAGACTGATGGAACCACTGCTTTTTGTTGCACAGCTGTGATAGCTAATGTTTACACTAACAAATTACACAGCATATATTTTAGGTCATCCCAAAGCTAAGATTATACAGGGAGTTGGTAGAGAAAATATTGGCTTAGGCAGTGGAGCAGGATAACTGTATTCTTTCAAATTATATACACATATTGACTTTTTATCAATGTTTCAGATCATTGCACCACAAAATACACAAAGAGGGAAATGGAAAAGATGAGACTTGAGCTAAAGAATATCTTCAGCCCAGAATTTTGACCCCAATATTCAGGTGAGCGCTGATATTCAGTGACGCACATCTGCCGTATGATGGTGCTCTTGACTCTGACTTCGGTTTCATTTACCTCAGTGGTGTTCTTTCCCTCATTTGGTTTGATTACATATTCAATCATGGTAGTATTGACGCAGTCGGTGACAAACCTATCTTCAGGCACATATGGACTGCCTTGGTACTGGGGTTTGTAGACTTGGTTGGGCATCTGGTTGCGGTAGGAGTTATAGTAACGATAGTCCATATCATTGTCAAAGTTGTATCTCATGTTGCTCATGGCATTTCCTAGGACGAAGCCCCCGACTACTCCCACTGCTGCTGCACCAGCAACCATCTTCATGTTGGTTTTTTTCTTGTCAGGTTTCCATTGTTTGTTGTAGCTGCTTCCGCCAGGGTTATAATTGTAGCCACCACCTTGATTCCAGTTGGTTCCGGGGTTGTTGGGATAGTGGGGATTATAGCCACCTCCTGTATTTCCAGGGTAGGCTGGGTTCTGGCCACCTCTATTACCGTGGCTTGGATTCCAATTGCTGCCTGTGTTTCCTGGGTAGCTTGGGTTCCGGTTGCTCCCACTATTACTACCCCAGCCACCAGTTTTGCTTTTCCCTCCTTTCTTTGAGGCTACTGTCAACACAAGACACAATGAGACAAGGACAAGGCAGGCCCAAAATGTTTTTGGCATCTGAAAGAAAAATGTAAAATAATTGCATTATATTTTTTTGCAACACACAGCGTCTCATTTTGCCATAGCTAGACATTTGATGCTGAAAATAAAGAATATTGCATTTAATAAATACATGAAGTACAATTGGAAGTATTTGGTGAACTGGAATGCACAAACTCATGGAAGCTGTGCCCAAAAAGTAGACAGAGGGCAAACCACCAGTTTTTCCTGTGGGCTCTGTGCAGCAGATTTATATCCATTACTGAATTACCATGCCTTGTTGTGCACTATGTCTTGTGTGGAAATGCCATCGTGGTAGAGGCATGTCTTTTGCTTTCTGCTATCAGAGTCTCCAGGAAAAAAAAACAGTGAGCAGCACAGTAGTGACATCACCAAATCTTACTCTAAATCTCCAGAGACTACCAGTCAGAGGCAACAGTGCCTTAACCTGGCCATGCACTGGTTAAACTTCATTTAAAACAATTGTTTTCAAAACATTCATTTTCTTTTATTTTTTTATTTTTTTTTTCATCTTATTTTTATTTTCTAACAGTTAATGTTGTTCTCAACCATAATGAGCTGAAAAGAAGTATGTAAATTTTTTCTAACTTCTTATCTGAACAAACTAAATTATAAGTGTGGTTTCCTATTGAAAATAATCATATGTACCGTTATGCTCACAGGCTATGAAAAGAAATTTTAAAATTCATAAGTGTAAAAGAAAAATGCAAACAAAATATTCTGTAGAGCATATTGAATATGTTCATATATGTAGACTCAGATATACTGTATATTAGTATATCAAGTATCTCCCACACATCCTTATGTAATGATCAGGGGCGGACTGACCATTGGAGCTCTCAGCACTGCCCGAGGGCCCGGGGTCAGTAGGGGGCCCCATGAGATGCCCCTGGTACCTTTCATTGGCTTTTTCATAGGCTTTTTTGGGTGTGTGTGAGGACACAGGGGCCCCATGATCCCCTATTGCTCGGGGGGCCCCATGAGTTGTCAGTCCACCCCTGGTAATGATGCATATACAATATACCCAAATATACAGTATTGAACCCAAAAACAAAAATGTATTATATTGCATCCTACCAAATTTTAAATATGGTAGCTTCCTTCATTTTCTTTCTTGAGGCCTTTTTTGTTCTTTATTTTCACCTCTGGATCTGGACAGTAAGTCCATTTTTCCAATTTCCTTTAATAGACCAAGATGTCCAGTACAAATTGGAGGTAGAGGGTTGTGACAAACCTTTTAACACAGACAGGGGTGCTTACAATAATCAGCTTTTATTCATTTATTTTAAACTTATCTCCCAAAAGGAAAAAAACTGTTGATGTAACTGTTTAAAATGTGTTAGCAGGTGTTGAGCTTTAATTTCTTAGTCATGTCCAAAATCTGCTGGTGCATCCAACATTACCCTCTCCTCAGATTAACAATGCTGCTGTCCAAAGGTGTCTCTGTTGCTCCTCTATCCAGAGTGGAATGATAAGCTGCAATATTTACAATTTTTGTTTTTTGGGTTTAATACTGCTTTAAAAAATAAAACAAAGTTTTGTTTTAATGAAATTAGAGTTGTTGTGTTATGAAGGCATGTGTAAAGTTTGCATCTTATGTGAACTGAGTGATGAATGTATTTGTTATACCTACCATTGTAATACACTTGTTGTCTTTCTAGCAATTTTTTTATGTTGTGACTATGTTTTGGAAGCCTGTCCTGTGCCATGGCTCAGTGGGGGAGAGTTACTAAAACTGGAGCACACAGAATCAGGTGTAGCCTTGCATGGTAGCCAATCAGCTTCTAGGTTTAATTGTCAAAGCTTAATTGAACAAGCTAAAGTTAGAAGCGTGTCCGTCGATTTTTAACAATCTTTGTTGATCTAGGACACGGGGGACTTGGCTTACTAGAAGGGGGGGGGGGGGGGGAATAGTACTGTGGGGGATGAAATACTATATGAGGGATGAATTACTTTATGAGGGATGAAATACTATATGGGGGGATGAAATACTATATGGGGGATGAAATACTATATGAGGGATGAAATACTATATGAGGGGATGAATTACTATATGGGGATGAATTACTATATGAGGGATGAAATACTATATGGGGGGATGAAATACTATATGGGGGGATGAATACTATATGAGGGATGAAATACTATATGGGGGGATGAAATACTATATGAGGGATGAAATACTATATGGGGGATGAATTACTATATGAGGGATGAATTACTTTATGAGGGATGAAATACTATATGGGGGGATGAAATACTATATGAGGGATGAAATACTATATGGGGGGGATGAATTACTATATGAGGGATGAAATACTTTGGGGGATGACTGACATACTATATGGGGGGATGAAAATACTATATGGGGGATGAAATACTATATGAGGGATGAAATACTATAATGAATTACTATATGAGGGATGAATTACTATATGAGGGATGAATATACTATATGAGGGATGAAATACTATATGGGGGGATGAAATACTATATGGGGGGATGAATACTATATGGGGGGATGAAATACTTATGAGGGATGAATTACTAATGAGGGATGAATTACTATATGGGGGGATGAAATACTATATGGGGGATGAAATACTATATGAGGGATGAATTACTATATGGGGATGAAATTACTATATGGGGGGATAATACTATATGGGGATGAATTACTATTTGAGGGATGAAATAGTTATGGGGGGATGAATACTATATGAGGGATGAAATACTATATGGGGGGATGAAATACTATATGAGGGATGAAATACTATATGGGGGGATGAAATACTATATGAGGGATGTAAATACTATATGAGGGATGAAATACTATATGGGATGAATTACTATATGGGGGATGAAATACTATATGAGGGATGAAATACTATATGAGGGATGAAATACTATATGGGGGATGAAATACTATATGGGGGATGAAAGTACTATACGGGGGACAGAAATACTATACGAGGGATGAACTACTTACGGGGATGAATTGCTATGGGGGATGAATTACTATGGGGGATGAACTCTATGGGGGATGAATTACTATATGGGGGAGAATTACTATGGGGGGATGAATTACTAATGAATTACATGGGGGATGATTTACACTATGGGGGATGAATTACATATGGGGGTACTATGGGGGATGAATTTCTATATGGGAGAATGTATTTTCAGTTTTAAAAATGTGCTCTCAAAATAAATTTCAATCATGGTTTTGGGAGATTTGGCTCAGTTGAAAAAAAAGGTTGCCCACCACTGATCTAGCCCAATGATCTCCAAACTATGGCCCTTTCTTGACTTTAATGGCCCTTGGGGCACTTTTCCATCCACCGATACAAGACACTATTCCTCTCACTGACACCAACAATGGGGCAATATTTCCTGCACCTGTCATCAACACTGGGATACTATACCTCCAACTGACATCAACAATGGAGCATAATTCCTGCTCTGTTATCAACAATGGTATACTATATCCAACTGACACCAACAAATGTGGCATAATTCACTGCTTGATATCAAACATGGGTCACTATTTCTTCCATTGACCCAATGTTGGGGCACTATTCTGAACATTGACAGCCAATTATGGGGGCATTATTCCCTCACTGACATGAGCGATGGGGGTACTATTCCTCCTCTTAATACCAAAGATGCATTCCTACTGACACCAGGACAATTTCCACTTCCAATGGCCCACAGTTCAGACCCCTAAAGTCTGGGGGACAATAAACTGGCCCTTGTTTAGAAAGTTTGGAGACCCCCAGTCTAGCCCAATCTGTGCCCCCAATAGATCTACCCTATTCCAGATAATGGGAAACAGACCCCAACCAAAACTTTACATCAGAAAGTTGGGAACAGATTAACAACAAGTCCTTCAATGCTCCATTACTGTCAACACTCAGGAGATGAATTATAAGCTTAGGTCTTAATATTACAGGATGCACACTCACAGTCATGTATCAGAGAACATTTCAGAAGTGTACTGGAGATGCCATATAAATTAAGGGGCACTCTCATTCATGTACATGTCCTCATCACTAAAACAACTGAGATCCATCCAGACCCATTCCTACTACACCACCATGACCCTAAAACAATACAAATGCCCATTCATAACACATGCTGAATGCAGCCAAATCCCTTACACCATGATTATGGAATCACAACACTCACCTACTACTTGACACTGGCTAGCGCAGATAAATTTAGATAAACTCAATCTACAATATGAATGAATTCAGTCATATAAGCCAAGATAATATGACCCATTTTGTAAGAGCTGGACAAAATGACACCTCTTCATACCAGCAAATAATGTCACTTCCTCTTTACACCCATAAAGGACTTATCATAATGGTAAAGTACAGTAAGGTCTATATACCCACTACTTAACCCCTGGGCACCTGCTAATTATAAAGTAGGAAAGGTCTGTTATACAACCCTTGTACAAACAACCACAGTTGAACATAATAGGGGACACAGGAGACAACATCACCTTCTCTGGAGCCCCCTCCCTATATTATCCCCCCACATGACCAATCCTCTTTTTCCTCTAATCTACCAAACCTACATACCCTGATCCCCTTTAAGCTAGCCACATCTTATAAAACTCCTACTCCACCTCCCTTTACCACATACCATTCTATCATATCCATTCACCCCACTACAATTACCCTCACATCTTCAGGAATACCTAGACTTCTTATAGTAGACCTTAATACGCAGCCCATGCAGTATATGCCACCCAGAAAGCATATATGGGGAGAAAACAAAGAGAGGAGGGTGAGAACCGTGTTGTCCTGCCCTCCTCTCACCCAGGTCAAATGTATGTCATAGAATAGATATTTTATGACACTTTTAAGGTCTTGCTCTGAATGCCAATTGTTATTTCTGGGCTTCTGAAGCTGTTTTACTCTTCTGGCTAATCTTTAATGTTTATGTGACATGTTATGAAACAACTTTCATATTGTGTTACTTTACAC